TAATTTTTTTGTATTTTTAGTAGAGACGGGGTTTCACCATGTTAGCCAGGATGGTCTTGATCTCCTGACCTTGTGATCCACCCGCCTCGGCCTCCCAAAGTGCTAGGATTACAGGTGTGAACCACCACTCCCGGCCTTTTTTTTTTTTCCCCTTTTCTTGTTTGAGACAGACTCTCACTCTGTCGCCTAGGCTAGAGTGCACTGGCACAGGCACAATCTCAGCTGACTGCAACCTCCACCTCCCCGGTTCGAGCAATTCTCCTGGCTCAGTCTCTCGAGTAGCTGGGATTATGGCCGTGCACCAACACACCCCACTAATTTTTTTTGTATTTTTGTAGAGACAGGGTTTCACCATGTTGGTTAGGCTGATCTTGAACTCCTTACCTCAGGTGATCCGCCCACCTTGGCCTCCCAGAGTGCTGGGATTACAGGCGTGAGCCACCGCGCCCGGCCGCCCAGTGTATTTTCTAAAATCATCTCAGGTATCACGAGGCGCCACCCTGGGTACCAGTCCCCAGATGTGGAAAGGACTGCCTTGGATGTCTGGGGACGCAGGTGTTTTGACTATTTCACCTCACACCTTCCTTGTGTTTGTTTAATTGGTTTTAATTATGTCTGTGTTAAGCAGATGATTGAAAAGAAAAGATTATCATTTTAGAGCTCAAAATCGTACTGTATGCCAGGCGCAGTGGCTCACACCTGTAATCCCAGCACTTTGGGAAGCTGAAGTGAGCGGATCACCTGAGGTCAGGAGTTCAAGACCAGCCTGACCAACATGGTGAAACCCCGTCTCTATAAAAATTGCAAAATTAGCCGGGCATGGTGGCGCATGCCTGTAATCTCAGCTACTTGGGAGACTGAGGCAGGAGAATCACTTGAACCTGGGAGGCAAAGGTTGCAGTGAGCTGAGATTGAACCACTGCACTCCAGCCTCGGCAATAAGCACAAAACTCCATCTTAAAAAACAAAAAAAACAAACAAAAGAAAACCGTACTGTAGTTCACAATGGAATATTATTCATCCATAAAAGGAATGAAGTACTGATACATGCTACAACACAGATGAACTTCGAAAACATTAGCTAAGTGCAAGAAGCCAGACACAAAAGAATAAATAGTGTGTGTTTCCTTTTATATGAAACATCTAAAATAGGTAATTCCAAAGGGACAGAAAGCAAATCAGCAACTGTTAGGGACTGGGAGGAGCTGGGATGGGAACTATTTATTTATTTTTTATTTTATTTATTTATTTTTGAGACGGAGTCTCCCCCTATTGCCCAGGATGGAGTGCAGTGGTGCGATCTCAGCTTACTGCAGCCTCTGCCTCCCAAATTCAAGTGATCCTCCTGCCTCAGTCTCCTGAGTAGCTGAGACTACAGGTATGACTGCTATGCCCAGTTAATTTTTTTTTTTTTTTTTTTTTGTATTTTTTAGTAGAGACGGAGTTTCGCCATGTTGGCCAGGCTGATCTCGAACTCCTGACCTCAAGTGATCTGCCTGCCTCGGCCTCCCACAGTGCTGGGATTACAGTCATGAGCCAATGCGCCCAGCCGGGACTGTTTAATAGGTACAGAATTTTCTCTTGTGGTGATGAAAATGTTTTGGAACTAGATAGAGGTGGGTATAACATAATGAATTAACTAAATAACCCCTGAATTGTAAACTTTAAAATAATTAATTTTATATTAGGAGAATGTCACCTCAATTTTTTAAAAAAATTAGAAAAAGGCCAGGCATGGTGACTCATGCCTGTAATCACAGCACTTTGGAAGGCCAAGGTAGGAGGATCACTTTGTGCCCAGTGGTTTGAGACCAGCCTGGGCAACATAGCAAAACCCTGTCTCAAAAAAAAAAAAAAAAAAAAAAAGGAAGAGAGAGAAAAAAGGTAGAAGAAATAGGGACTAAAAACATTGTATACTATAGGCTACTCCAGTGATTTAATAGATCTAAAGATGAAGAGATGGAGAGACCTTCCCAGAATCACATCGCTGGCTAGAAGTAGAGTGGTGGGGCAAGAACCGCGAACTTCCATACCACTGACCACCCAGCGTGTGTGTCTGACGGAGTTCAGCCTCAGCACCTTTTCCTAGTCAACTCGTAAGATGACATCATCCACACCCTCATCGTCTCCTCTTCTCCCTCATACTACAGGGTAGTTGTTTTGTAGAAACAAGGTCTCACTATCTTGCCCAGGCTGGCCTTGAACTCCTGAGCTCAAGTGAGCCTCAGGCTCCCAAAGTGCTGGGATTACAGGCATGAGCCACCGTTACAACAGCCTGCAGTTTTTTTTTTGTTTTTGTTTTTTTTTTGAGATGGAGTCTTGCTCTGTCGCCCAGGCTGGAGTGCAGTGGCACGATCTCAGCTCACTGCAAGCTCCGCCTCCTGAGTTCACGCCATTCTCCTGCCTCAGCCTCCGGAGTAGCTGGGACTACAGGCGCCCGCCACCTCGCCCGGCTAATTTTCTTTTTGTATTTTTAGTAGAGACGGGGTTTCACCATGTTAGCCAGGATGGTCTCGATCTCCTGACCTCGAGTGATCCACCCGTCTCGGCCTCCCAAAGTGCTGGGATTACAGGCTTGAGCCACCGCGCCCGGCCCAGCCTGCAGTTTTTAAGTACTTAAGCTTCAGTAGCTCAAGTCAACAAAAGGGGAGTGGGGAGGGGGCAAAGCCAAGCCAAGGGGTTGCCTTCTCTTCTCCTTATGCCCACAGCCCTTTGCCCACCTCTCCCTTCCCCTTGCTGGAGGGCCCCATGCTCTCCTATTGTAGGCATGTGTCTTTTAGTCCCTGCACACAGGCAGCTTGGCTCATAACTAAACTTCACTGTAAAAATGTAAAGCACAGCATAAGTCAAAGCAACAGAGCAGAGTGGAGTTCCCTCAGAATTTCACCTCACTCATCCTGGTTTCAGTTTTAAAACTCAGAAGCATTAGTTAGTGCCAGCTTATAGGCAGGGTTAGGCTTCAAGGTAACATTACTTGAGGGCCTCATAACTGGCTCTGAAGGCAATTCTTTCTTTTTTTTCTTTTTTTTTTTTTTTTGAGACAGAGTTTTGCTCTTGCTGCCCAGCTCAGCTCAGTTCTCAGCTCACTGCAACCTCTGCCTCAAGCGATTCTCCTACCTCAGCCTCCTGAGTAGCTGGGATTAGAGGCATGTGCCACCATGCCTGGCTAATTTTGTGTTTTTAGTGGAGACGGGGGTTCTCCATGTTGGTCAGGCTGGTCTCCTGACCTCAGGTGATCGGCCCGCCTTGGCCTCCCAAAGTGCTGGGATTACAGGTGTGAGCCACTGCGCCTGGCTGCTTCAAGGTAACTTTACTTTCCGTCTTCCATGTAGCCTCATTCACCTGCCGCTGCCTTCAGTTAGAGAGATTTCCTGCATCATTCCTGGCCATTTTAGCCTTTGGAGTAATCTGTTTCCTGTCTTATTAGGTTCCAGGTAGACAGCCCTCTGGTATTGGATAAAAACTGCATCAATTAACAATGGGATTTTTTTTTTTTTTTTTTTTTTAGAATCTTGCTGTGTTGCCCAGGCTGGAGTGCAGTGGTACAATCTCGGCTCACTGCAACCTCTGTCTCCTGGATTCAAGAGAGTCTCTTGCCTCAGCCTCCTGAGTAGCTGGGATTACAGGTGCCTACAACCACACCCGGCTTATTTTTATATTTTTATAAGAGACAGGATTTTGCCATGTTGGCCAGGCTGGTCTTGAACTCCTGACTTCAAGTGATCCTCTCACCTCAGCCTCCCAAAGTGCTGGGATTAGAGGCGTGAGCCACCACACCCAGCCAACAATGTGATTTTAATCATTAATAAACATGTACTGGAGAGGATCACTCAGAACCTACTGCCGAGGAACTGTGTGTGTATCCGAGGAATACTGATAAGATCATTTAAAAAACCCAGTCCAAGATCCAGCATTTTAAGAGGCATGAAAGAGGCATAATGGTTGAGTGTGGACAGCTGAAGTTCACACACCAGCTCTGCTAGCTGCAGGTACATGGCCTTGGGCAAGTTACTTTGCACATTTTCTCATCTGTAAAATTGAAGTGATATTAGTGCTTCCCCCAAGGACTTTTGTGAGGAATAAATGAGTTCATATTTTAAAGGCATTAACACAGGCAGCAGGCATATAGTGTTTGTTATATTAAAAAAAA